AGAAGATGCACATGGACATGGAAGCAGCAAGAGCAGCGAGAAGCTGCGAATGCTTCCCCTTCCAGGAGGAAGAAGAGAAAATCCCACATCTGAGCAGGGTCACAGAAACCCCCTGGGGCAGCAGATGCTGCAATCCGTGCAGCTCCTAAGCACTCTGTGGGGTATACAGCAGCTCAGCCCCAGGGTTTGCTTCTCCCCATCCCTCTCGGGGCCCCAGGCAGGGCAGGCTGCAGACAGCATAATGTCCCACCCCAGCTCCTTTCTGCTGAGCTGGTTCTGTCTCTCAGAGCCAAGCTGGCAGTGCTTCGGGTTGAGAAGAGAAGAGAGGAGAGCAGAGGATCCTGACTTTGCTTTCCCACTGAATTTGAGAGGACACTTGCCCTTTTTGCATGTTGGCAGAGGTGGGCTCCATCTGAAGTCAGCTCTGCAGGTGCTCACATGGGAGCCCTGCAAGGTGTACCCCAGGTTGCATGCAAAGCTCACAGTGTCCCCGGGGCGGTAGGAAAAGCGATAAATGGATACTCTCTTCCCATTCTGTATGTGTGGGAACAGGCATCGGGTGGCTGGGAAAGGGAGAGAAATACAACGCTTACCTGCACAGCTCTCAAAGTGGTTCCTGCCCATGATAGTTGCGTGTTGATGGGGTCCACGCATTCGGTTTCTGTAGGTTTTGGCTATCCCGTCCCAAACAAGAGGCCACTTCGGGCAGCTGGCCAGGCTTTCACACCCTGCGGGCTTTCAGCCCAGACATCCTGAACAGCACAGTCTTGTTTGCCATTTTACTGCCTCATCCCAATGCATTTCTATTTACCGCAGCAAGTTTCAACTTGACAGAGCTCCAACACGACCCGTTACTGGAACAGGCTCCTTGTCTCAGTGACGTATGATGCCATATCCATAACCAGCTTTACTTTGGCAGTTTAAATGTGGAGGTCAAGCCCCTTGTTATGAGAAGCTGAACAGGTTGTGAAAGACTCCCCATAGCCTCCCGTAGCGAGGTTATAACTCTGTTTCCCTGTCTGCTAAAGGGTAGAGAGTGGCACCGGGGCAATCCCAGAGGGGCTTTATAATTAGCAGAGGAGCTCAGAGGCTCCAGGATGCTCAGGGTCTGTTGTGTCGAGGTCCACCTGGCACCAGCAGAGGGCTCCTGTCTACTAAAGGCTCAGTGAGGAGAGAAGCGATAAGGAAGAGGAGAGCTGTGGGAGGAAGGCCCCCCCCAGGATCAGACCTGCCGGTCTCCCTTACCTTGAGCCCCCGCTGCAGTAGCCAGGAGCAGAGCAGAGCTGCACAGGAGGTGGAGGGCGAAGGCAAGCACCATGCTCCAGTCCTCAGCACCAACTGTGGCTCCTGGGGGGCTGCGGGAAGATAAGGGCACCCCACTTCCCTCTGCCACCCCCCACCTGCGGAAGGAGCTGCAGCTGCGGGGCTTCCCTGGGCCTCAGGGCAGGGGCAGGGGCAGCCACCGCTCCCGGGGGCAAAGAAGGTCCCACGCTGCTCTTCTGCTATTTTTGGTCCCCAGTGCAGAGGAGGATGGGCCCGTGGGACCTACTTCATCTGTGGAAGAGGGGTGGGCGCAGGCACAGAGGTGCCCTCAGCCAAACCCTGCCCATGAAGAGCACCCTCGGTCAGGGAAAGTATCCCCAGGTGGTGACAGGAGCCCCACGCACCGCACTGCAGCTGTGGACCCAAATCCTCCCGACCCGACCCTGGCTGTTCCAGGACTCATCCAAGCCATCATCCCTCACTACTTGCCAAGAGAATAAAAATCCACAGAGAGGACTTTTTAATGTAGGAGCAGCTGCAGGCACCTCCATTTCACACAGCAGAGAATGCTTTCTGAGCCAAAAACAAGCAGCAAGACGTGCGTTACCCCTTTTATTTACAGAAAGCTTCCCATACTGACATATCCAACATTTATGCTTCAGAACTGCACTTGATTGCTTACACTCAGATTATTAAGTAAAATTACATACAACTTAATTGCTAACACAGTAGATTAAACACTCTTCAACAGCAAATTTTGATGACAACACCTGCAAGCTATGTCACAGCATTTACAGTTTGTTTCATTTGGTTGCGGGGAGATAATTTCCGGCTTATCCCCAAATCAGGTGTTAAATCATTTGGAAAAAAAGCGCTCTGGAGTATGCAGTAGGAAAAACGGTGTTGGGATTAAAATCACAAAACGGAACACAACACTAAGCTAGAAGACTTTAAATTCATGTTTTCTTCATCTAGTCACTCACATAAGTGAGTGAAGATAAGAGATACACAAAAATAACCAACAATCTGCAAGTGCTTGTTCTGCAAGACTGGCTTCCGAAAACAGCACCCTGTGGTGCCCCAGTGACAGCTGAGCAGGACTGGATGCTGCCAGGAAGGGAGAACTCTGTGGGTCTGTTTAGGACATGACTAATGTGGTGATGGAGATGGGCATTTGTGTTTTTCCCTTTAATTAGATGCATGTTCCTGTTAACAAGAAAAGAGTGGTGAAAACGCAGAAACAAAAAGAATGTAGTACGCACATTTTGAATACTTCCCATTCCCAGCATGAGAAGCTCACAGCTGGGGCATTTACCTCTGCATCAGACAAAACCCCAAACCTCAAAATCTTGCTTTACCAGCAAGCTACACGTCCTTCTGTCTCAAGCTGGATTCAGGCAATAGCTGAATACCAGCTCAAACCCTGTCAGTTTTGTTTACCTTATAAAGAGGCTTCCCGGGAAGCCTTCAAATCTTCACTTCATTTTACAAGATGCTACGCACATCTTTACTTTATTAAATGATCACTTAACGAGGCTGAGTTAAACAGGAAAGGACAAGGGCACCATAACATGGGCTTTCTGCCAGACGAACAAATCAAGGGCACTTCTGCCTGTGTCTTTGGTTTAAAAAAGGTGAACAGTGTTAGACAAGACAAAAAACAAAGTGCACAAAAGACGTGGGGTTCCTGTCCTGTTCCCCATGGAGGAGTGAATAACGGCTTTGGCTCGATGCACATCCTACAGAGATCCCCCAGCCAAAACCCTGCTTGTCCTCCTACAGCATCAGAGCAGCCCCAGGGCCTAGCTGGGTCTGGGGTGAACAGCACCACCTAAAAAAGCCTTTTAAGTGCAAATTCAGACAGCAAATCCCTGAATTGGAGCCACCCCATGTAGGTGGCATTTGAGCAGAAATTGAAAAGGTTCACATGCAGCAACTTTCTGATGTTTGGTGGCATCTACCAGGACATCCGCAAGCTCTGCATTCATTCTGGACACCATCTGCATGGGGATGGGCTCTGCTCCACCTGGCTGGGTCCCTCCCAGGGTTTCAGCCCACTGAAAGTTTCAGCACTTTGTGAGAAGCGGCTACAGGGACAGGAAGGCTGTTTCCACAAGGTACTTGCAAGATAAACTTCAACACGATACAAAGATAGTGCCAGGGCAGAGACCTTCAGCTGAAGTTGAAAACTAATATTAGTACAGGAAGAGTCAGAATAGCAGCTCTTTTATTAAGGCATTTAAATGTTTTTCTCTCTGGTAAAATTACTAAGCAGTAAGGATTGCTATTTGCCCAGTGATTTAGATTTGCCTTCACGCAACAGCTACAACTGCACTTTTATATGAACACTTTCAATGCTGCAGCACCAACAGATAACACCCAACTCATCCATGCCATTTGTATCAAACCGTTTTTTCAAGTACGCATCACTCACGTGACGACATTCCCTGTCAATCCTCCTGGCAGTAGCAGCACTTTCCACCTCAGGACATTTAAGAAACCTGTGAATCCTGATCAGGACCAGGCGCAACACGACCTTAGTGCAGCTGAAAAACCAAACATGGAGGTACCCAAAGCACACGATTTTCCTGAGTCTACTTTATTGCAGCACGAAGGCCTTTGGCATCATCACAACTTCATGTGGGGATGTAACCACTCTTGATTTCTGAAGAGCATTCTCATCTGGGTGGCAGAGAGATGCCCATCCCATCATCAGCTGCTGTGTCTAATGCAACGCACAGTTGCTGCAGCCATAAGTGCGAGTGCTTCTTCCTGGGCAGTGCAGAGTGGCTGGGCTTTGCCATCCAAGGTCGGCCTATTGCAGGTTCAAGGCCAATTTCACAGGAAGGAAAGCAGAGCACTGGGTTCAGCACGATCCAGTCAGGTGCCTCCTCCCTATGCCCATTCCCTAACCTAGACGTTCATAACCAGCATTGCCAAGAGAAGGGGGAAGAGTCCTACAAGACACAAATAAGAAGCTTCAGTCTTCACTCCAAACTTACTCTTTTTTATATATCCAAACCCTAGTCCCCTTTACCTTCCCCCCTCTTTTCACAGCATGAACTTAAAGTGACAACAATATAACAACAGACTATAGTGGAAGGCTTTAAGCCTGTTTCAAGTAGAAAACCCAGAAGACAATAACATAAATACAGGCAAGAGCACGCCACAGGGGATTAGGAATCTGTAACTGACTTACCAACAATGATCACGTTTGCTGCACCTGCAAAGGAAGCAAGGCAGAACGTGAAACTCAGCACCCATTCGGCACAGTAAATCACCAAACTGCCCACCATGCAGTATCCCAAATCAGAGCCAATGCATGTGGAAGACAATTCAAGCAACACAGAACAGGACCTCCACACACAGCCCAACTTCACCCATCCTTATCTGTTAAAATCCAGACATATTCACTAGGATACATTTCCACTCCTGCGAGTCCATGCTGCCACCTAACCACGCTCTTCTGGCACTGGCTTTTAACTGAAGCTGCTTCAGGAAGCATCAAGGCTTCTGCTTAGCAGAATTAGATAATCTGACTTCAGGATTCACAGAGAAAAGAAAAAATAGGCATTTTGAAGACAGAGAGGAGGCAGCAAGACAGACACAGGAGATAGTCACTGTTGCATTCAGGAGCGGGCTTGCTCCCCAGTACTGATCTCCTGCAATGCACTGAATAAAAGCCACTCCAGCAAGGGTGAAGACATCACTGCACTTGTAAGCTACAGCAGAGCCTTGGACAAAGGCTGTGCCCTTAGTGCCATTGTGCATCCCGTAGTCAATAGTGGGGGGGCTCTCTACAGAGAACATCAGGGACCTGCCCTGCGGGAGGAAAATCACCTTTGCATTCAGGAGTCGGCTTGCTCCAGACTCCACGGTACTGATGATCTGCTTTGCAGCGAACAGAGGCTGCTCCAGCAAGGGTGAAGCCATCCTTGCATTTATAAATCACAACAGAGCCTTGGACAAAGGCTGTGCCCTTCGTGCCATTGTGCATCCCATGGTCAATGGTGGGGGGGTCTTCACAGAGAACATCAGGGACCTGTCCTGCAGGAGGAACATCAGTGAGAGTATCTGAGTACCGCCCCTAACCGAAAAGGTGAAGAGGTGATGGGGAAAGAAGGTACAGCCAAATACCATGCACCCAGCAGCAACTGAAAATATTTTCTGCATTTTATAGCTGATTGAATTAAGAAGCAGAAGTAAGAGCAGCCCAAGCCCACCAGTGAGGCAGCTACACCAGCACAGTCCCAACTGTTATCTTATTGGCTCTGTGCAGGGTTTTGCTCTCTTACTTTCACAGGATGGGGATGGTCTGTCCCAGTCAACTCCATTCCCTGATACCACACATTTGGCAGAATATGACTCCTTTAATTCATACCTAAAGAAAGGGAAGTTTAGTACTTTTCCAGAAGAAAACCCAGAAAGGGTCCTTCCCTGTCCTCCCACCACAGCTACTGACCAGGAACTGCCTCTGCTATGAAATGGGATCTGGCCACATCGAAGCCACTAATAATAAGAGCTGAACTGAAGCAGCTCATGGCATTACCAAGCACACACATGTTCCCACACGCTCATCTTACTGAGGACGTAATGGTTTCACTGGAGGCTTGCACTGGAAAACCATGTTACTGCCTGTGATCCCCATCTTCTGACCCTGAGTTGGTCCCTTTTCTGCAGTGATTCACTCACCCTGGATGACAGGTGAATGTCACAGCCGTCTCAAACAAGAAATCCTCTGCAATCACATCCCCGTTCTCTATCTTGGGAGGAGCACATTGCTGTCCTATAGGAAAAGAAACCGCGGGGGCATTACTTCAAACCCAGATGGGCAGGACTCAAATTTCAGAGTAAGTGACATCTCGGGCGCACACAGATCAGTCACGACAGGAGAGGAGCAGAGATACTCACTAATGCAGAAGTCTGGGTCTGCAGACCAGGTTGCATCGCTCAGGCAAGTGACGACAGAGGACTTCCCACTTGCTGCAGCATAACCCGGTTTACAGTGATACTGCAGCTTTGTTCCAGCGAGAGAGCTGTCACCCACAGCCTTCAGTAACTCAGCGAACGGGAAGCGCAGGGCAGGGCCGCAGTAGACTGTAACTGGAGATGAAAGCCAGGTTAAGCTGCAGAAGAGTACCCAAAGGGCCTGCAATAACAGCAAACAGCACACTTCGGAGCACACATTTTAACTTCTTTGACTAAAACTCTCTGGGATACAGTTTGCGTCCAGCCCGTTTAGCAAAAGTCAGCATATTTCACAGTTTGCTTAACCACAGAAAAGATGGATCTTGGGCAGGCTCTCTGCCGCAGAGATGCTCCTTCCCTGACCCCCACCCTAACCTGCAGGATCAGCTGAGCTCAGAAGCTAAACACTGCACAGGTCTGGGAGCCAGTGAAGCCTCCTAGGGGCAGAAGGCAGCTTTGTCTCCTTGTGGTGCACTTTAGGATCATCTGCAACTCAGAAATAGTTTAAAGCCTAAATATGTAACTGGTCTGGGCGGCCGTGCTGAGGACCCAAGGCAGCGCACTCTGCAAGCGTATGGCTACACATGGTTTGGAAGCCGATCTGCCCAATAGCTCTTAGATCTACATCAGTATTCAGGGAAATGATGTTTTTGGTACTCACCTGGGTCACACGTGGGCAGAGGCGGCTTCCAGGTACTGTCTGCTTCACAAGTAACCACACTACTACCGTTCATTGAATGGCCAGGATTGCACTCAAAGGTCACTGTCATCTTATACGTGTGCCCAGTGCCAAAGCCAGATAACCTTCTCCCATTCTTCACTTCTGGATTTTCACACCTGACCACTGGAAGTGAAGACAATAAGAGTATTTATTACAAGAAGAAAAAGCCATGCAATGACACCAGAAATATCACACAAGAAGCTTACTGAGAAAACTGCCGTCCCTTCGCTCTGAGAGAGGCAAGTCCTCAGGAGGGTGCGAGTACCTCGTGAACAGGGATGTTGCTAAGAAACTGCACACATGAGAAATTTATTTTTCACTTGCAGGAAGCCATAGACATGGGCAGGGAGAGGCTGAAGAATCCATCCCTGGGATGATCACTGCGTTAAGCTTTCTGAGCATCATTTTAGATTCAAAATAACCTCCTTGTGTTTGGCAGCCCACCAGGAAAGTGCAGATCAGGAGAGGGACAAGAAACAAAATCAAAAGCATAAGGAACGAAAAAAACCACTGACCTTTGCATTCAGGGGCTGGACCGCTCCATACTCCCTCGAGTTTCTCATCCGCTGTACAGGAAATCGTGGCATCTCCAATAAGAGCAAATCCTTCGTTACATGCGTAAGTCACAGCCGTACCAAAGGTGAAGTCTCCATCCCCACTGCGGAGCTGCCCGTTCTTGATCATAGGTGGTGGCAAACAGGAAATAACTGCACGGGAAAGCAACAGCGAGAAAATGCAAGAACACTGCCAGCAAATATGAAACCAAAGTCTAGGCACTAAAAAAACCCCAATAATAAAAAAAACAACCTACCACAAAAAACCCAATTCAAATGAAAACATTAATAAAAGTCAAAGAAAAAACAAATGAGAAGCAGGCCTAAAGCAGTCATCTCAACTTAAAGTCTTGAAGGCACCTTTCAGTTATAAATGTTTTCCAGGGCTTTTTTAAATGGATAAATGGTAAAATGGCAAAAAAGCATTTTGTCCAAGAGAAGACACTACAGAAGAGACCTGGAGGCAATAACTATGGTCTTGTCACCTACCACTCATTAGCAGCATCTCCTACCTTCGTTGTGCTAACTAGGATGAGGCCAAAACATCAATTACAGCAGCAAAGCATCTAAACAGAGCTGACCACCTTCCAGATCTGACTGCAGAGCTGCTGCCAACATCCACAGACCCTCCCTAGTATTTCATTTCCATTCCCAGCTCCTGCAAGAGTGCTTGTCTGGAGGAGAGGGAAGGACTCAATCTCATTAGGGGCAAATTTAATTTGCATTAGGTACCAAGAAGAGAGTATCCACCTGCCACTCCCCAAACTATCAGATATATCGTAATATCTTTGAGGAAGAGATGCACACAAAACACTTAAGATCTGCTTACTGGCACAGTATGGAACGTGATCCCACGAAACTTCATTGCCTTTAAGTACACATTGTACAGACGACTTCCCAACTAATCGGTACCTAATGAAAGAAAAGGTTGCATCTCTTTGAAAAAAGTGAAAAAATAAATAAATTGGGAAATTCAAAAAGTCATAGTTCTTAATGGTATGCTCTGGAGGACCTGAGCCCTAGGGATAACCAGCTAGCCCTCCTATAAAATAGAATTATCTCAGTACCTAAAGAAATGCAATATAAAATATAGTTAGAGGAAACTTTTCCTCGGATATTAAAAGCCTCCGAGGTTCCCCCAGCCTCAGCTCCCGCAACCCATCAAGAGCCTGGGCCAGCACTTACCCGTCCTTACAGGTGTAGGTTATTGTCGCCCCAAAGAGGAGGTCACTTGTGTAATCAAAGTTGCCATTCACTATCTCCGGGACACCACAGGACTTCCCTGGAAAGGCAAGTGATCAGCATGAGCTCAATTTTATAACATGATAGTGAGACACAGGTGACAGTACTGTTATGGGTTGTTACAGACTAATTGACCATTTACTGGGCATCTAACTTCCCTCATTAGCAACTACTAGCAAAATACAAGGTCCTTCTGAGGAACTGAAAGTTAAAATGCTAATAAAAGCACAGATAAAGCTAAGGACAAGTTTTATAAGCTAAGTTTTTTATGCTTACTGAGAAAGGAAACTGATAAAGAGCTCAGCAGGCTCAGGGGAGAGGTCTATTGGAAAGGCACCAGTGGGAAGGAGAAGGGGATGGGGAGGGACATGCTGAGCACCCCAGGACCCACACAGGTGCATCACCACGGAGACAGCAGCCTCCCTCCACCTTTCCACACTCTACCTTGCTTCCATGCAAGTATATGACAGCATGTACACTCCACCACCAGACGGTAAAGTAATTAAGACAGGCAGAGATAATCTTTCAAAGATTAATGCTTCTACGCAGAACAGGCAACCCCAGGCAGGCAGGGCAAGCGCTTGCTTCCCGCTGTCCTGCACACAGTGCCTGAGGAACACAGCACCCACTAAACCACCAGCATGTCCGGGGTGCAGTAGGGACCCCTCACTCCTACCTAAGTCCCAGGACCTCATGAGGAGGAAACCCACCGATGCAGAAGTTGGGGTCGGCCGCCCAGCTGGAGTTGGCGAGGCAGGTGGCGACGGGGGCCTTGCCCATGGCTACG